ATCTATCTATCTATCTATCTATCTATCTATCTATCTATCTATCTATCTATCTATCGGTCGATCGATCTGTTCATCTTTTTTTAGAGTCTATGGTTACAAGGTAGGATTATTTAGAACCTAAAAAACGACACAAAACTATTTTCGCCTCGCATTTTAAACTTTAGATAGAACTGCTTTTTGTAACCGAATTTGTATTCCTTTTTGCACCTCTCGTTCAACCTCGATCACACATTTTAACCCACATACTCACAATCCTGGTAGGGTTCATGATAGACCCCAATGGCACAACAACTACCAGCCCCGTGGTTAAAAAATGGTATATGTGGTTTCAACGGTCAATTATCAATGATTAATCCGCCAACACCCATTCAATCTGGGTAACATTCGAGTTGCCTTGAAATGGAATGTTAGTCTACAAAGGAATATAGCCAGTGCTTCGCTTGGGCTAAAGAATTTTCCACGGTCTAAGGGTACGGTTATTATGAATAGTCAGGGACGAAGGACTCCAGGTAGATAGTCTTGTACGTGCACACAAATATGGCTGTCCGAACGTGCAGAAATGGGCAATATTCGTATATTATTTCCACAACCTGTAATGATAATTGTACAGTGTTGGTCTTTTTCCTTTTTTCCCTCAATAGATATCTGAATAAAAACCAACAACATAATACAGCCATTAGAGAAAGGAACATAATTTGATCCTTTTTACTCTTATTCATTTAATAACAACACTTATTGTTCTTTAGGTCACTGAGTGTCGCATAATGCTGGTGGAAGTAAGAACAAGGAAACGACCTACGTTCCTTGTTATGTCGCATCATCTATGCAGGTGTCGGGATTCTGAGGCTCGAAGATGTGTCCACTTGTGTATGTTATTTTTATTTGCTGTCCACCACTCCCATATTATCGCCTTTCAACGCCCAACATAGCCATTGCATTATAAAACATACTTATAGAGTGAGCCCTGACTTAGTCTTTAAGAAAATCCCATACAGAACGACAACTATTTAAGAATTGCAACACAACAGCATCTGCAGCAACGTAATTAATGGTAATAAACTGCAGCGTCAGCAAAAACAAAATAAACAGCTTGATAAATTGTATCACTTGCAGCACATATAAGTCGTATAGAAGAGGCATTTCTAGAGAGTAACGTACAAAAAGGCAGACGAGAGCGAAGGGAATGATACATATTCGATAAGAAAGAAAGAGAAAGCTACCACAAAGCACCCGCCAATCACCAAAAAGCATAATTATGTAAGGAGAATAGAGTTAAAGCTGAAGAGAATTTCAATCCCGTCTCACATCAAGTTACTTTTTGTCTTGAACATTAAAAGTATCTATCATGTTTCCAAAGTATCCAAAACATAAATGCACGCGGAGCCGTTCCTACAAATACACTATCTGTAGCCGTAGTAACGCTGTGACAGTTACTACTACTTCCATTTCTACTACTTCCATTTCTACGACTGTCGCTACTATTACGGTTACCACCTGCTACCACAACAAACCTTTAAGTCACGCTTGTTAAACTAATATCACAGTTCATCACACCGTACTTTTCCACACTACTTCTTACCCTGACCTTTATTTTGACTCTTGCCACATACTACTGATGCCTCAGTTTTAGGACAATAATAATATATTTTAAAAATAATAAATGACTTTTATAAAGCGCTCAACCCCAATGAAAGTACACAGGCTCTGGGCGCTTTACAATAAAATAAAATGTACCACAGTAATATAAAACGTTGTGTTCTGACTAAAAGAAAGTCACTCCAGATATTGATCTTATTGATTTAAAAACAGAAATGACTTCAGCTGACATTTGAATGAAGCAAAAGATTTGATTTCCCTTAAAGTTCTTAGCAAAGCATCCCAGATCTTGGGGCCTTGATATGCAAATGCCCTTTCACCCATTGTTTTAAGATTCATAGATGGGAAAAGAAATTTCTTTTTGTCAGCTGATGACCTTAAACTGCGAGTAGGCATGTACAGTCTCAACAGATTTGATAAATATGGTGGCGCATTATTAGTCAAGCATTTGTGACATATTGTGGCCAACTTGTACACAATTCTTTTCTCCAAAAGAGGTTTAGCAGAGTCTTGCTTTCTTTTCCGCACAACCAAACAGGCAGCGTTGTTTTGGGCAGTTTGAAGTCTTTTAACTTTCTCCAGTGATATTCCTGACAATCTGAGAGGCTGTTTTTGGATGTAATTTAAAAAAACACACCAAAAAACCAAAGACAGCAGACCACCAGTCAACTTTCCGAATATTGCGAGGAAATCAAGTATTTTTAAAAAACTTGAAACGTATTTGAATTCTGTTTACAAGCATCTGCTTTGTTTTAAAGAAAAGTAAAAGGTAAAGAATATTTGTGGAGACAACCTTACTTTACAACGGACTGGCAGAAAATAATTTTCTTTCGCAAGTCAAATCTAATTCAAAGCTTTATATGCATGGCCTTGTACACACATAATAAACCCTGGTCTTCGAGATAACTGGGACTGAGATCGTCCCTGCTACAGTGGCGGTGGTTAGTGAAGGGCTCACGGGCAACCCCCCCCCCCCCTTCCTCCCCCAAAACTTTATCCCAAAGTATATGAAAGTTTCTTCAATATCGAAATAATTAGTTGAAACCGCTATGATCGCACATAAAGAACACAGAGTGATCAACTTGGCGGCTTGCTCGTTTATCCAATCACTGTTGCCACCGCTTACAATTATAGTAACCTAACAGCCAATCAAATGTCTTTAGGGCTCAGCTGAGGATGGGTCCATTCCCACGCCCATTCCGTAATGAAACTCTTTTTGTAAAAAGGTAGAAGACTGGAAAAAAGAACACTGCGCTAAGGGCCCACACTCTCTTAGCCCTGACAATGGGGGTGAAAGTTTACAAAACACTTTCCCCCAGTGATACAGACATCTAAAAGACCTTTGTCAGGTGCGTTCTACTTTCCGCGAATATACGACCTAATCCAGCTCATTGACGGAATATGTTTGAGGTGCTGTGTGTGCATCCTGGCGTTTGTGCCGCTGAGATTTAACAGTTATAAATCACGTCGATTCCACTTTTAAGGCAACTTTTTCATCCAGAAAAATTTAACTTAGAACAAAGAATTGGAAAACAAAGGCGACTCTTCTCATTTGAATGGCTTTCAAAATGTCGTGGCTCACCGTGACTATAGAGAAATCAGTACTGTTTAGGTCGTATTGTCTGCTATTTGGTGGTAAAAAAGTGGAAGCAACCGAAGCCCCTCCCAAATTTTGGTCCACCCAACGCCACTGCCCTTCTATCACAACGGCTGTAACTGCGACAGTGTTGAGACATTTGGGCACCAAACAGTGACAGCGAAACATGGCGGATACCAATTTGACCCTTACGCTCTACGGCATCAAAGACTTGAGATTGGTGAGTTTGCTCTGTCTTCGCTTTCCATCTATAACGTTATGAATGAAGCATTATGAATTCTCTCTCAGCAGAGAAAGAACCTAGACATTATTCTGTATTTGTAACCTTCTGGACATTTTCAAAAGGCTACGACTGTTGTATACTATTTTCATCATATTTCGATTAGACAGAATCCATCCAAGCTGTAGATCGTCGTGAGTTTGTATGTGCGTATGTACGTATGTGTATGTATGTATGTGTGCATGAGTGTGTTTGGGTGCGTGCGTGCGTAAGTATGTAAGTGCACGCGTATGTCATACTATGTGCTTATACAATGATTTGTAAATCCATAATGTTTCATGTTAAGAGCATAGAGCATTGCATAAGTGGATATGCCCTATATAAATGCAATCCATTATTATTATTATTACTGCATTGCTTCGAGGTTTTTTTTACTTTGGTATTTATTTTACATGTGTCATCTTCATTGCGTTTATAGATACGTATATTATGATATGCAATGTTGAGACAAAGAGGTGTACGCTCTTGGCCCTCATCTATGATTATATATTCTTTTGTTAAAATTTGGCCATTGCAAAAAACATTTGTTGTATATCTAAATGTTATCATAAATATGATTTTACAAGCATAGACATATCCTACTTAAATTACATTATCAACAGAACGAAACCAGTGAAACTAAATGACATTTAACATGGCTGATTTTTTTGTTTTTCTTTTTGTTTTGCTCTAGGAAGATAAACCGATCCAAGAACCCGGCCCCGGAGGTGTGTACTTTTATCGTGCATTATGTTAATGAGCTAGCATTATCTTGCTTTGTGTTGATGACCAGCAAGCACCTCAAGGATTGTACGCAGTTTGCGCCCCCTTCTTATCTATTGTGTTTGTGCTGAAACGAATTTCAGTCGTTTTTATCTGAATGTAGGAAGGCAGGACGGTCCAACATTATATTGCAGGTACAAGGCTACCCCATTTGGCTATGAATTCTTCCGTTTAACGTCTCAATTCAGATCAAACCAAAACTGCCCCCTCTTGTGGAAACAGTAATAGATAGATCTATGAGCTACTTTTAGCATAAACAACTTGTATTAGAAGTGATATCAGATACAATTTTTAAAGCGCAATGATCTTCAACAGAACAGAACAGATGATAAAGGGAATGTCAGTCCTAAATGCAAAACGAAGTGGGATTTCATAAAATTGTTCGAAATCTCTTAATAATTCGGTCTCTTCACCTGTTAAGCGCCTCGAGCGAGGGATGCTATCCTAGTCTGAAGTCAAAATCCTGTCAGAGTGGGACGAACTTAATACCCCGCTTTCTGTTTTGCCCTGGGCTCAGCGTTGTGCATCATATGTGAAAGCCGCTTTAAGGTCTGAAATAATTTACTGGCCGTGTCGGTTTCGCGTGCTTCCCTTGAGAAGCTCGGCTTAGAAAATTACGGAGCTCTCACTTAAGGGGAAAACCGGAGACAGCGATGTCGTAATTGAAGGGCGGTGCAAGAGTGCCTTTCAGGGGACGAGAAGAATCTAGTTTGGGTTTTGAATGAACACTGAGTTGAAGAAGAAAAGAGAAAAGGTCAGACAGTCTGATGGACGGGGAGACTGATGGACACAGACAGGCGCACGGACGGACAGGCAGCAGGCGAAAAGCTGAACAGACATACAGCGAATAAGAAAAATAAGAAGATTGAAACCAAGCGCTTTATGCACGTGAACAAGGGTGGGGGGGTAGTCGACAGAACGACAGACAAGCGGGCGGGAAGACTACGAACAGACTGAAAGACGGACTTTGTGGCAATGTTTGGGGCTGAGAATGAGTAAAATGGGAAGAGGATAGGTAGATAGATAGATAGATAGACAGATAGATAGATAGATTGATAGATAGATAGATAGATAGATAGATAGATAGATAGATAGATAG